CCCAAAACCCCAAAACCCCAAAACCCCAAAACCCCAAAACCCCAAAACCCCAAAAACATTTTAAACTATAGAATAATATAAAAGCCGGATATCTCCATGGAAAACGGGAGTCAAGACGATAATTCTAGCTTACAAGGTACCGAGTTTACTGACGAAGCTTCGATTGATGACATTATAAAGAGTATTGAAGACTCATCAGTCAAAAAGAAGAAGAAGAAAAAGAGAAATAGGAACAAGAACAAAAATAATGGTAATCAACAGAACAATTCAGAGGTGAATAGTTTGGAAAAACAGGAGAAAGAAGAGAAAAAGCAGACTCTAAAAGTTTACAACGATCTTAAATGCCAGAAGATTACCTCTTTCTCAACCATTGCTGGTGACGAGGCAGAGGAGAAGAAAGAGATGGTTAAAATGAATACGCCCCATAATTTCAAGAAGAGTAAAGGCGGGCAGGGAAGACCTAGTCAATCCGCTCCAAAGACTAAGGAAATTGATGAGTTTAGACTCAAGCAGATTAAGCTCACAGATAGCTTCTGGGATGTATACAATAGCAGTGTTAGCAGTGGGTCAGATAACGAGTCTTTACCTGACTATAAGGATGGTGGATATCACCCTGTTCATGTTGGAGAGACCTTTAACAAGAGGTATAGAGTGCTTAAAAAGCTGGGATTTGGCGCTTTTTCAACAGTATGGTTCTGCCATGATATGGCTCATAACAAATTTGTTGCCATCAAAATCCAAAAATCAGGTGAAAGTTATTATTCTGCAGCAGAAGATGAAATTGAAATTTTGGATGTGATTGCAGACAAGATTCAAACGGAAGAGTGGAAGGAGTCAATTCAAGAATATGATTTACCAAATAATATAAACTCAGCTCAGTGTCTCCACATGATGGACAACTTCACTTTTGAGGGACCACATGGAAAGCATATTGGAATGGTGTTTGAAGTAATGGGTTACAATCTTTTAAAAGTCATGAAGCTCTACGATTGGGAAGGAATTCCTTTACCTATCGCAAGAAAAATTGCGCGTCAAACTCTAATAGGTTTGGATTATCTTCATAGGCTCTGCAATGTGATTCATACAGATATTAAGCCAGAGAATGCTATCTTATCTCCTACAGAAAAACAACTAACTGACCATTTGGATTCAGTTCCAGAGCATTTCAAGTCAAGTATTAAGGGACCTATCCAATCAAGTATGTTCTTCAGCAAGGAGCAGAATAAGATTAATAAAAGAAAGAAGAAGAAAAATAAGAAAAAGGCTTCCACTAAGAAAAATGAGGAAAATAAAGAAGACGATGAGAAAATTCTTGATGAAGACGTACAGGTCAAACTTTGAGATTTTGGAAATGGTTGATGGATAGACCATCACTTTACATCAACTATCCAGACACGACAATATAGATCTCCAGAGGTCATCCTGGGCGGAGAATATGATGAGACGTGTGATCTATGGAGTTATGCATGCATGGTATTTGAACTAATTACCGGAGATTACTTATTCGACCCTAAAACAGGAGAGGACTATGGAAAAGAGGAGGATCATATTGCCTTTATTATAGAACTTATTGGGCATCCAGATCTCAAATGGCTAAAAGAATGTAAAAGATATAGGAAGTACTTCACAACAAGAGGGAAAATGAAAAGGATTTTTAAGCATAAAATTTGGAAGCTTGAGCAAGTTTTTAAAGAAAAATATTGATTTAAGGATGAGGAAGCTGAACAGCTAGCTGATTTTTTAATGCAAGCCTTACAATGGAAGAATGAAGATAGATGTTCTGCTCAAGAAATGCTAAAACATCCTTGGCTTTCTATGCCTTCAGACTATGATTATCAGATTGAGAGATCAGATGAAGAAGAGGACAAAAACTCAGGAGACGATGAAGAGGAAGATGATAATGATTCTTGGGCCACCTATAGCTCTAATGAAGAATCTGACGGTGAAGGTGAAGGTGAGGGTGATGGTGAAGGAGATGATGACAATGATGATTCAGGTAGCAGCTATGATTTATGATAAAATAATCAGAAACTAATTCAATTGCCTAATACAAAATAGGGGTTTTGGGGTTTTGGGGTTTTGGGGTTTTGGGG